AGAAGCCGGCGGAGGCGCAGCAGAGGAGAAGACCTGAACCGAAAAAACACACTGGAACAAAGCGGAGCGTAGATGTTGGTGATGTCATCACAGAGCCAAGCTGAGCAAGACGGGCCGCGATGACAACAACCTCCGTCCTCCAACCCGTGATGAGTCATCCCAGTGTTTCAACCGAGAGAATGGACAGCCGTTATAAAGCTCAGCACTGGACGTGGAAGTGTGATGGTTGGGAAACGCTCCTAATAAACACGAAAATCCACCGAAGGTTAGGGAGCGCGACTCTTAAAGTAACCGCTCTGATGCTTTTGTGTCAGCTTTAATTATATCTGTCAGCTACACAAGTGGGAAAAGTGCAATCTACGGCTAGAAAAATCAACCACAAGCCCAACATCAACTGCTACAGTTAGAAAAAGATGCTGCAACACATTAAATATCCCATCACTACAACCTCCCTGCACCCAAGTGTCCCTATGAAAACCAAAAACTGTACATATATATATAAAACATTATTTTATGAGTTAGCCACGCTACAAAACGAGCAGTGATGAGTCTAAAGTAAGCTGCTTGTGCACGTCATCTTCTAGCATTGCAGCTGTTGATCTAGCAAACACGAGCAGATGATAAACAATAATTGGAGTGCATCTGTTATATATCACACATACATTTTTTTTTCTTCAATCATTACATCTTTTGACATTAAGAGCTGTGCAGCTTTTTCAAGAAAATTCTAATATTAGCGTATGCAGCTAAAGAGGAGACAGAGCTGCCAACAGAATGGAATTAGATGATATCTGATGTCTTTATTTATCAGAATGGAAACCGACATAGCAATCACCATCTGTAATACTGTAATATAATTTAATAATACAGTAATGTAATTAAGGTAATGACTAGAATACTGAAAAAGTAAGTTAGGTGTCCAAGAAAAACTAATAGTTCACTTGTCAAAAGTCTGTGGCTGAATTAAGCAATTTAGTTGTATTATTCTTATATTATTTTGAAGCACTGGGTGTACAGCTTTCCCTGAAACTTCTCCAAAAACCCGCCTCAATCCATCCTGGCTCAAACCCTGAACGAAAGTAACATTAGCAACATGCACATCACACATAGTACCTGCCACCTGTCCACCTTCATTTATCAGATTTTCTCAGTTGAAAAAAAAAAAAAAAAATAGTGCTTTCTTGTCAATCTCCTGCTCCAGATTAGTTTCAGTCAGCAGTTGGGCAACATTACAAGATCTAGCCGGCATGATTGACACATGCAACATCTGTCAGTACGCAGGCTTAGACATCGAACGCCATCTATACAAATCTTATTAGACTATACAGGGTGTACATCATTGTCACAAACTAGTTTTGATATCACTTGAGCAGTGGCGTTAATTTGACATCAGCACAGCAAAGCACACCTCTGGATTCGCTTTGATTCGGAACAGCTTGCATACGCGCTGTCTGAGTAAATCTGTCTAAACAGGGGAGATCTTTGTGTTTTTATTCAATTCCTCGCTCATAATTTGACATCAATTCTTAATGCTAAGCGATTTTACTTTTTTAAATCTAAATAAATGTGACAGACTGAGTCTTGTTCATTTTCCACCGTCTGACTACAGCAAACGAAATAAACGCCTCTGGAAACAAATGGAGCGGATCGCCTCACAGCTGGATGTTTTGGCTGTGACATTCTAAGAGGTCACAGTACATTGAGAAAGACTGCACGGTGGGGCAAGATTTGGGGGGGGAGAAAAAAAAAAATCACTTAAATGAGGCCGGGTATATTTTTTTCCCTGCTACTTCTTCAATAATATTAACAGTTAAACACCTTACTGTAAATAACCAAGTGTTTTTTGTTTTTTTTTGAGGCTGCTTTTCCCTTTGCAGAAAATTCTCTCTCTACCTATTGCTTTCACAGTCACTGATGTTATGGACAACAAGGTAGGATGCTGACATCTGTGCATTTCTCTAATCCCCTGAGCAATACTGAGAACAACAACCCCCCTGAAAAAATAAATAAATAAAAAAATTAAACACAGACAGACTTAATCTTGCATCTGTCAAACTGTAAAAACAATTCGGTAATGCTGTCCCATATACCTGACTCCGGACATCAGCGGGGATTTTAAATCCTCGTCTTTGAGATCCACCACTTCTTTCTAGAGCGCTGACTTAAAACAGTCAATTTGTTTGGGCAGGCAAAAACATGAATAATTCAAAAATAATTCTCATTTAATATATGAGCAGTGTTTGCCAATATTAATACGGTGCTTTCTTCTATACTAATACAACCCGTTTTAGCTGTATGTCCTACATCGTTTTGTGAAACACAAAAGCTTGGCTACATGACTGTCGGTGTGAAATTTAAAATGCGATCGTGTGCTTTTATCATCAGAGGCAGGTATACGCTTTGATTGTTGAGCCCCCAATAAAAATTATCTGGCTGTCATTCCAAATTATATAACATTAGCGTCTGATTTGGCAGATCACAAGTGGAAACCATGTGAAGAACAAACATGAGCCAAATTTCTCTTCACATGGAAAGAGCAGGAGAGCATGGCTTAGTGAGCGGAGCCAAGTTTATACCCAGAGGAATCGCTGGTAACGGGCCTGACAGGAGGGTTAACTGCGCTGTGATCAAAATCGCTCACATCTTTTACGGGAAGGGGGTGGGACTGTTGATCAGAGAATGCCTAGAAATACAAAACATCAGGTCATCCTGGTGCTGAGAGAGCAACGAACAAGATATTCCATCAGATACATTAACATACAAAAAAAGCGGGATCTTAACAGGTATGTAACACTTGTCTGTACATTACAGTGTACAGCTGCTCCAAATAACTGGAACCGCTTCTATATGAAACGCTGCTTTAATTTCAATCTCCATGCTGATAGTCAGCACGTAACTGCAGCTGGGAGTCAGCTGGTGTCCTCGAATGTCTCTGTTCTTGGAAATGCCACGGTCATGTGTTACTTCTTCCCCTTTGCTTATCATCATCATCATTATCACCACCGACAATATTTATGCTACGTTGTTAATTACAGACATGAACCGTTATGGTGTCAGTGCACAAATCCAAATAGAGTAATTCCACATGCCTGATGCACGGCTGTTTTATTTCTCACCCTGCAAAATTTAGCACCAGTGCTCTTTTTTTTAACATTTAAAATCTGGATTACTCACTGCACAGAACTCACTCGGATTATTTTTATGCATTGCTGGGCCATAAAAACTGAGATGATTGCCCACACGTTTGAAGAAGGGGAAACATTGTGTTTTACTGCAACACTGGCAGAGAAACTGTATTAAGTCAAGCTCAGTATCTCATACACTTAACTATGTAGATATGAAGTATTTCACAGTTGTCTCTAGTTGATGTTTAGGTCTGCTGTAGGTGGGTCTGTGTAGATGCTGTTAAATCCCAGATTTTAAAGGGTTTAAGCAGAATTCTTGTCAGATTTATTGATGACATCCACATAATCAGAAGGCCAGTGAGTTTACAGTAACTCAGAATAAACTTAATGACATGCTTAACCACTAATACAACATTGTACTGTGTATGTGATTTATAGTCTATATGAAAAAAGCCGGAAGTAAGAGATGACATAGAAAGAGGTGACAAATTAAAAGAGAAACCCAAACCCTTGACCCCTACAGTGTCAGGTGGCTCTGTTATGCTGTGAGGGACATTTTGCTGGCATGGAGCCCCCGCAAATCTTTTTGATCTAAGATTTCTATCCTGATGGGAGCCGTGTCTTCCAGGATGCCCCCATCCACACAGGGCATGAAGGGTCATATGGTTTTGGACTTTATAGTCGACCAGATTTCAACACCCATCAGAGATTTTAGGCTGACGTGTGAGACAGTGATCTCCATCGGCATCATCAAAACACCAAATGAGGGATTTTTTATTTTTATTTTATTTTTTAGAAAAATTGAAGTGAAATGCAAGGTGACATACAGCTTACTTAGACACTTGTTTTTTTTCCTTTAATTTGTCACCCATCTGTGCATTGGGCTACATTTTAAGAGCAACTTCTCTGGATTTATTCAATCACAGCCGCGCCATGTACTGTGCACATGAGATAAACACATCCAGCCAACCACTGCTCCTCCAAAATAAAACCCAGGGTGCATTAAGGACACACTTCCTCCGGGTGCTGAAGCACACAAGTCCAGCGGAGGCTGCTTACAGTTGGTACACTGGGTTCATGAGCAAAGTTGATTTTCTGAATTTAATTGGATAAAAAAAAATAATACAAAAAAACACCACGCCTGACTTTTACAGCAGTCCAACGCCATACAGTCTATGTGTCTGCAGTGAGAGCCGAGGTTTCAGAGGAGGAGGAGGAGGAGGAGGAGGAGGCATCACCAGGGGTAACGTTACGCCTACATCGCAGAGTCGCGCAAAATCAAAGTCTATAAACAACGTCGGAGTCCAAAAGTTGCGCTCGAACCTCAGTGCGGCTCAACGCGAGCGGCTACGCGGGCCGGGCTGCGCACTTTTGCGGCCGTTTCCGCCGGGCCAACCCCGAGATGTGACAGAGGGGCGCAGAAAAACACTCTCCCCAAATGTCCCCCCCACACCCCCCCTCCCCCTCTCGCCATCGACGTAACAACATGTCGGCAAAGGACGGCCATGTTTTGCTGGTTATGTCGACACGGGGAGGAGGAAAAGTAGACACGATGTCTCTGCCCGCCGCCTGCTCCCACCGCGGCCCGAAACCTAGCAAGAGTGAAACTTGAACAACGGGGGGCGAAAACGTCCAATTAACAACTTGGTGGAGACGTTGCGAGTCTCAGGTGTTTTTAAGCAGCTCAGGGGCAGGCAAAGTTCATGCGGCGAGACAAGTTAAAATATTTATACGGGAGGCGTGGGGCTGTTTTGGGGGAAAGAGAAAAAAAAAAAGGCGCCGCGAAGCCACGAGTGCGGCGCAAACAAGCGTTTTAACTTGAAGGGGGGTACTTTCAGGTGAAAAACAAGAAGGAAGAGTTGATCCGTTTCTTACCTGCCCACCGTTTTATTTTGGCGCGACGCTCAGGTAGTGTCGCTACGAAGCTCCCCGAAGCTCGCTGCTTAAACCGCCGAGTCGCTTTCGAGTCGCACCGTGGTGGCGTCGCGGCGGCCCGATAACCGAGCAGACAACAGGCGACAGGAAAGAAAAAATTGGCGATCACAAGGAGGATCTACGCCAAAAGCCACATGATCGCCGACGTCAGAGTACGTATTTGCATGCCGTACCGAAGCGCCGGTGTCCGTCCGTGGCGGGTCCATGGTGTTCGAGCAGCCGGGGAAAAGTTTAGCGGCGGGCGGGAGAAAGTGAAGCAACTCTCCGTCCAGACGGCAGCAGCGGCGCCGGTGTCTCCATGAAGCCTGGGAAAAATGAATGAACTGCGTCTTGTAGCCGTCAACTTGCCCCCCTCCTGTGCTGATGCCTGCCTGCCTCTCCGCTCCGAGCTAATTGAATATTAAAGTATGAGAGGGGGCGTTTGTTACCCCCAAAGTTCCTCCCCCCGCTCTCCCTCTCTCTCCCTGGCCGTGTCACCCCGCCCACCCCGGCTCCTCTCCCCCTCTGTCTTCCATGTGATGTGAGGTGTGGAGCTGCTGCAGTGCTGCTCAGCTGGAGGCCCCCGTCCTGCAGAGAAAACCTGCATCACACAGAAAAAAAGAAAAAAAAAAAAAACTAAACACACACACACACACACACACACACATCTGGATCAGCAGAGGTTAGTTTGAGGTCAGCTGATAGTCACAGTTTATGTTGGTGGAAAAGTGCCCTGAGGTGACACACAAACAGCTCACACACACACACACAACAGTGACCTCCACTGGATCTAACTCAGAACTGATTCTGACCTTGGCTTTAAGCATGCATCACATCCTCCTTATACCAATATTGATGGATTTGTGCAAAAAAAAAAAAAAAAACCCTCCCCGAAATGCAGTGATTTCCTCCATGCACTCACAAAGTGTTTTTTTTTTAAAAGTAGAAAATGTTCCATGATTGCAGATGTAAAGGGCTGTTTTGGTCTGTATCCGTGAAGCCAGTGTACCAAATAAGTCAGGCTTATTCCAGTAAGTCGGACTTAAGCTCAACATTAGGTTCAAGCTCAGTTACTCTGCCAGTTTATGCTAAGAAACCACGATGTGCCAAAGCAGACTGACTGAAAGCAAAGTTTTTACTACTGACTCAATGGCATCAGTACAACTGACATTAAAAATAATCTACCTAAATAAATAATAACTTAAAGTAAATTGCACATTCATAGGATGTGCCTAAGATGGTATGTGATATCAAACTTTTAGACTTATGCTACATAAAATAAGTCTTAATATAAATGATCCAAATAGTTAACAGTACATCAACATGAACAAAAAAGACTATATTGATCAGATATGCAGCATCAAAGTCCACATGCCTCTCTCTTCTACTGTTGTGGTGAAATTAGTAAATACATTTCTACAATTTCATTTAAAACAATGTCAAAAAAAAATAAATTTAGGAGTGTTTTTTTTATTTTTAATGAATTAGTTAAGGTCTTTAAATGCGGATCTAAACCCTTTGAACATGTGATTGAATCAACTCCATGACCTTCAGGGGAGCTCGCTTCTTTCACTTTCTTGTGTTCGAAATCAACAGTTACGACAATATTCAAAGATATGTTCAATAAATGTTTTTTTCATGACACTGTGCCGCTCCTCACTATCGCAGTAACAGTCCGCATACCCATCTCTTTATTAAAGTGATGAATCACCCTCATCCATAAATCATAAATCAATAAAATCGAGTTTTGAAAATGATCTATGATGATAGCAAACCATCAATATCTTAGAGACCCTCCAAAAATTCACAGATCATATTTCCAGCAGGGCTCATGTCCAGTTGAGACGAGCCGAGTTCCCTCTGACTCTCCCTGCAGTTCCACCCTGGATTTAATCATCCACATATTTAATTACATTTCAACTTAGCTTGCATGTGATCGATTGGCAGTTTCTTGCCATTCTTACCCTCTGGTTTTAATCACTGCAAGAGTATGACTTTTTTTGGTTAAGATTTGTTTAATCCATGCTTGACCTGTCGGGCCTGCTTTAAGAATAGCGTGATCCTGCAATTGTCTCGATTACCTGAACCTGCGTCAATTAGTCTGATTGCATGAACTTTAAATGACCTTTATGGGACCGCTTAAGCCTCAACTGATCTGTGAGGTTTCACTCAAGTTGGGTGTTGGACTTTAATCCCCAATTTCCTTTCAGAATTTTAATGAACAGGCCCCTGAACTTTTCATTATTTGCTTAAGCCTTTGCACTTCCTGATATGTGAAACCATAACACTGCATTGCACAGACACAGAGAATTGTCTTCCAGTGATGTAACAAAGGAGAAGGTAATATTGAGCTTTTTTTTTTATTGTAAACACTGTGCCAAACACATATACTTAATATTAGTGTTGTATTTATACATATCTTCGCAGCATTTGGAAGGCCTCTTTAAGTATCTTTTCCCAAAAAAAACACAGGAAACCCAAAGCCAGCTTCTGTATTTGTGGCACTATGAGTGTGTATTTGTGTAAACATAGAGTCAACAGTGTGTTGCTGACGCTGTCAATAATCCATATACATTTCCACTGGATGACTCCAGGAAAAAAAAAAAAAAAAAGAAGCTTCCTAATTGACTTCCCCAAGACAAATAGAGAAATAGTCCGACCAGACAGATTACACAGGGTTCCTAAACCTTTAGAAAATTAAGATAATTGAGTCATCACTCATGCAAAAGGTCATGCAGATTCAATTTATAAATGCGTTCCATAAAAATGTTGCACTTTTTGCTGTCTAGGTTAATCTAGTGAGGTTTGATCTTAGCTCGTTTCACTCAAAATTGTACTGAGAGTGCCTTTACCAGCTCTCCAGTGTCAGTATTGTGTTAACTATTAAGAGCAGAGTTACTCATCTGCGGTTGCTGCGAGGTTTGGACTCTCTTGAAATGGTGTGGTATGCTGGTTCACTAATGGCTGCTATTCAAATTGCAGCCACAAATCACTTCAAATATGAAGGTCAAAAGGATACCAGTGCGCATCACAAAAAAAAGGTGATAAATTCATGAAGGTGGAGTAGAGATATTGTTGTTTGTGCTGGAGCAGCGAGCATTTAAATATCATTTTAGCCATTATGTGTCTAGATTCTGATAATTAGACATAGTGTCATAAGTTAGAAGGAAAGATTGAGCGCTGGTGTGTTGTTTGCCTTCAGATGAGAATATCTATACAAATTCCATTGGTTAAATGAAAACAAATATGAAAAGAAAGGAGATTAAATGTCCCACAGTTAAGATAAAGTGCTGTTTCAGTCTCCAGTCATTTGAAGGACTATTTTTCTTGGTTGTTAATCCTAGTTTTAGTGTCTCTTCTCGTCCTAACAATGAGGCCTCCTATAAAAGTTCAGTGTTATTAATGATCAGATCAGGTATGAAGAAGAGTTTGTGTTTTGAATAAAGTAGTCCACTGGTCAGTTCAAAATATTTCCCTCAAACATTTTTTACCAGTTATTTGAATGAGTAAAAGTGTGATCTCTTAAAGCTGGTAGATGCCAATCCACTGGTGTGTTTCCTACAACCGTAATCCGTCCTTGCAGTGGTTTAGTAGAGTCTTGATAGGGATTTACTGTTGAAGTAGGTGAAAGCAATTAACCTAACACAGTGTCACAGGCCTTCTTAAACTCCTGTGGTCCTCAGAGAAACACTCAGTAGGAGCCCATGATCAAAACATGAAAGCGACAGGTTTTCTCGCTAATCGTGAACATGTTAGTTGCACCTTAGGCATGAGTTATGAGATCCCTTATTTGAGGCTTTATCCAGTGATTTTGGCACAAGAAAAGCATGTTCCACTTTTTTTTTTGCTCTTTCCACATTAGCTTCATGCTCATTCATAAAAAACTTTATTTTGTGTCATATGTTGGATGTGTTGTCTGGGTTGAAGGTTTCGTTTCTCCTCTTCAGTAAAATACTGTAACCAGTCTCATTTACATGTATACACACAAGAGCAATTGAAAGAACAAAATTTAAAAGAATAACCTCACAAGCACATCAACCTCCATCACACAAACAATACAGCAACCCGGGCACATTGGACAGACTGGCAACATTACAGAGTTGTCAAGTGTGATACTGTATATCATATTTCCAGGGTTCAAAAAGTCCCATTCATTTTCATTGTGTGTTGGAGCACTGCCAAGGCTTGGATGGGCATTAAACTCTACTGGATGAATCTTCAACAAAAAGATATATGCATTAGAGGAAGATAACTATGACAACCAAGATGTATTTTTTAAAAAAGAAAAAAAAATCCAAACACTGAGCCAAAAATGCTGTTGCATGCACTCCTAACAGCAATTCAAGGCTACAGTTTTCAAAGAGACCTGAGAATATTCAACATCTTAAATCAGGTCGCTTTCAAATCCTGGGTTAATTGTAGATGCTGTCACTGACTATGGCACAGTTTTTAGTCCCCTTTTGTATCAAAGAAACAGAATGAATTGCTAAAGCTCTTATTTGCACCCTTGACTTGCGTCTTTTCTATGAAATGTTAGCACAGGCAGCCATAAGGAGCAGCCATACACCACCCAGCAGAAACGTCTTTTATAGGAAGAGGAGGCCTGCAGACCTGTTTTTATTCTGAGGAACAATGAGATGTAAAGGCTGGGATCACTCTACTTTAAATTTCCTCGGTAAAAAATGAATTCTGTTTAAAAACAGAATAAACTCGTTTTCTATAGTCCTCATTTGAATGGGTGCCATTTTTCTTTGGCAGATTGTGTTCAGCCTACGAGTTCAATGCTTGAAAACCCCGACAGAAGGAAAAGTGACAAAATCAAGGCAGTAATAAGATACAGGGTTGCGTTAATTTACAGTACTGTACAGATTTGGTGGTCTTTGATTAAAAAGATAAATAAAAAAAAATCTAATTTCTTTCCCCCAGATTTGTAAGTTTTTATCTTTAAATGTGTAAAGGGATTTTTTTAGACCCTATTTAACCACGTACTGTACATTCTGTGTCAGCATCAGAGAGTGGTGACCTTTCTAGAGATAAATGTGATTGAAATAAAAGGTCACTAGATGGTGCCAAATGGCTGCATCATCACACCTAAACAGGGACTCGATGAACCGATATGCTTGTTGGATGTGTTTCCTGTACCGACCTATTGCTAAAGGTGTACATTATGTATTTACAATAAAGGCAAATGAGTGTTTTCATTGACCCCATGGAGGCTTCAGTGCAGACATGGCAATCTATAAAACCTTTATATTATCACTCCTAAACAGGGCAGATTCTGCCAGGATCCGAATCACTGGAGGAACTGGAGAGTTGAAAAGAGTTTAAAGGTTCTGAGAGAACGAAAGAGGGAGACAGAATCAAAGAAGGCTGATTTAATTCCAAAATATCATGAC